GTGTGTGTGTGTGTGTGTGTGTGTGTGTGTGTGTGTGTGTGTGTGTGTGTGTGTGTGTCAGGCTGCTGCTATTCTCCTGTAAATAATTGTTGAAGTTCTGTCACAAAGTGCAGTCTGCACACTGACTTTACAAAATGAAATATCTAAAACACCTGCAGCTGAAAGACAAAATAAGAGCAAGAACACTTTTGCTCGTGTGTCTGTTAGCATAATATCTTATGAACCAATGACTGGATTTTGATGAAACCTACAGAAAGTGAAGAATGGATGTCTATCTAAAACTATTTCACTTCTTTAGTCGGTTCGATTCATGATGGCCAGTACAGCCTGCTGATTTTAAAAAGCACAAAAATGGCTGTTAACTCGGTCAGTTTTACACACGTGCACCTCAAATGTTGTGTTGTTGCAGCAGAGACTGATCTACTACAAAATTTTCTGAGCACTAACATATTGAGCAGGACTATTGTTTCAAAAATTGCCAATAATTACCTCAAGCCATCTTTGTCTGTCTGTTAGCAAAATATCTCCTAAACCACTGGATACATTTTAACAAAACCTTCTGGAAATAATCACAACTGATGCATCTTTGGCCATGACATCCAACTGACTTTAGAAAACACACACATAACTTTTATTTCAGTCAGTTAATCCGATGTGACCTAATTGGTGCAGATGTTAATCAATTTTATTTTATTTATTTTTATTTTTTTTTTGCAAAAATGAAAGTAATTCTCTGGTTTGAGAACAAGCTAAGTGAACGTTCTCCTCATCGTTTTCACCAGAACGTTTAGAATTAGTTCAGATGCATGCTTGTCCTGACCCTGAGATGTGATCACCTCCAAACATAAACAGTCATTTGACTGCAGCCTTCATTGATCTGTGCCTAACCTTCAGCAGTGGAGACTAAAGCCACCTTTGTGTGTCTGCAGTGCTGGCAGCAAGGCTCAGACAGCTTAAAAAGCTGTGGAACTGGTCTTACCGATGCTCTCTCTGAAAGCAGGGGCATTGTTTGGTCCCGAGGAGCACCTTGGATAAGCTGAAGTATTTAACAAACGAATACTTGCTCAATCTTCCACAAGGCTTGCCTGGAAGATTTGAGGGATTCTGTCTGCTTCAATTTAAGCAGTATCTCACTGGGTTGTGATGGTAGAGTAGTAAAGTAGTAGAATTTTAAAAAAAAGTGACTTTTTTTTGCAGTCTCACTAAATTTGTGTCTGCAGTCAGTGGATTGTGTGTGCACTTTTTGAACAGCCAGACTTTGAAACTCATAGCTTATTGTGTTTTACAGCTTTCAAAACTGCATTCTTGGTCACGCACATTGTTATTTAGCTCCGCCCACATTGTACCAACACGGCACATTTTTGATTTAATGTACTGGAGTAAATATTATAAAGGTGTCAAAAGTATTAACATTCATTACTTAAGTAGAAGTATAGATAATAGGGTTTAAAAATACTTTTTTGGAAATAGAAGTATCAACTCAAGCTTTTTACTCAAGTAAAAGTATGAAAGTACTGGTTTTAAAACTACTTAAAGTATAAAAGTAAAAGTAATGAACACTTAAAAAAGTCATTATGGATAAAAGCTTAGTCTGTGCCACGTGGTTCTATAGTGTAACCCCCCCCCACACACACACACACACACACACACACACACACAAAGTCGATAATGAGTATAATGTTAAATTAAAATGTTAATGTTGAATAATTTGTAATTAACTGACTAGACTACTTGTTTCAGCCATGATCATCTTCATTCTAGGTTACATCTGCTACAGTATGTCCTGCTGGAATGTGATGTGATTTGTGTCATACAGGTATGATGGAGTGTGTTTAATCCAATAGGATATCAGGGTGGTTTATATTTACACTTCTCATCCAACCACAATCAAATTCACTCTGTCCAAGAGCGCCATGTATCTGGATAGATTTCTATTTATTTAAAATTTTCTGAACAATGAAAAGATGGAATAAAACAAGTAAAAGTTAAATAACAATGAAATTACTTTGTGCATTTTTAAAAAATAAGGAGTAGAAATTACAGATAATTGAATTAAAATGTAAGGAGTAGAAGTAAAATGTAGGCTGAAAAATAATTACTCCACTAATGTATAAATAACCAAAATTTCTACTTAAGTAAAGTAACAAAGTATCTATACTTAGTTACTTGACACCTCTGATTATAAATGGAAAATAGGCAGCTATAGGCCGGTTTTTAAAATAACTATTTATCATCATTGAGATTTTCAAACCTGAGTATTTGATCCAGATATTTTCTGACAGTGGAACGTAGAGGTGCACTGATTGCAGTTTTCTGGCTGATCTCCGATCTTTAAAAAGCCCGACGAGCCAATTCCGATTTTTTTCGATACCAGTTATTTAAATAGCTGTCACTGTCAGGTGTTCAATGTTCCAATCTTATTTTATTGAAAAAACATTGAACAGTACCCTTGAAGAAATACAAACTTGTTTTAACTGGACATTCTATTAGATAGTGTTCACAGCAGCGCAAAAGGAAACGGTGGCTGATTATCAAACTTTTGTGGAGGTAGATGAAAAGCTGATCTTTTTTACCAATCTTACCCAAGTATCATCCAATGTACCAAAATTAAAGAAATTAGAATACTGTTTTCCAACTGGTCACAGTCCAGTCAGATACCATCTTTTTGGAACCATAAAGAACCCTTTGTCCCAGGTAAATGTAATCAAGTCTGTTCTCTTTTTTTTCTTCCTAACGCACACCTGATGTTATTGTTTTGATGCCTGAAATGCAGAGTTCAGCTCACTCCTGTTCTGTCCTCGTTCTGAGGCTGCGTTCTGGAAACAACCTGTGCTCCAGATATGGGAGGTGAGGTCATGCATGACCTGCACAGGTTTGTTTGAGGCATGTCGGCAGGGTCGGCAGGGTCAGCAGGCTGATAAAAGCTCCTTTGCACAGGTTGAACCACCCTCCATCAGACTCCACTGTTTCTTTCAAGGCAGGGCTGAACCGTCCTCCAGGCTTTCAAAAACAAAAAGAAAATGATTCACAGATTTAGGACGAACTCTGGAATGAGGAATAGATTCCCCTCAGAGGTTATGATAATTATTTGCATAGTTTGGCGATGAGGAAGGATTCTATTAAGTGCTAGAATTTGAGTTGGGCCAAAAGTTATTCCAAATATTTCAGATCAGAGATTGCAGCACGTTTTATGTAGGTTACTATAGTTGGATATAAGACTGGTGCAGAAATGAGACCCAAACCTGCAGTTTGGTGTTTAAGATGCTAATGCACATTAAATCAAACACAACTGTATCTGAGTTTAAAGTGCCTGTGACACGCCTATCCTTCAAATACAAAAAGTCAAAGAAAGCATCTTTACACTTAAGAAAATAGGCATAATACTCATGATTTTACCCATTTAATCACATAACTGGCCTATTTTCTTTTGAATTTGGCTCAGCCAAAGTGAAACAGGAAGTGACATCAAAGGGGAACTCATTAATAAAATAAACTCTCTGGTCTTTGTTTATTAAAACAAAATTATTTAAGCTTTAACTCTTTATTTGTTTATTTGTTTATTTATATAAGTCATTTTATTTGTAACAATTTTATATACACAACAAAAAACAAACAAAAAAACCATGCAATCAAAATAAAATCAAAATAAAATGAAAGGCAGCAGAAGAATAATATATCTTATAATAACTGCCCCTTTTTATACTCAAAAATAACTTCATCTCTCTTTGATGGCAACTAAAAATAATCTAAAGAAACATCAGATTCTTCTCTACAGCCTGTGTTGTGAGCTTTTGTAACAAGTCTCTGTTTACATGCTGACATTCCACTTTGACATCACTTCCTGTTTCTTCACATGCAAATATCTCAACAACCGTTCATCTCAGCGACGTGAAATTTTTTTTGCAACATGTTATCAATGTTATCTTTCCAAACATGCATTCATGTTTATTACAAAAAAAAAACTGATGTCACATGCACTTTAAAGTGATCCTTTCTTTGACACAGGGACCGCTCTGAGCTGCTCGAGGAGGCGAAGAAGATGGAGGCGGCCAAGTTCCGGTACATCCTGCCCGTATATGGGATCTGCGAGGACCCTCAGGGCCTCGTCATGGAGTACATGGAGACGGGTTCCCTGGAGAACCTGCTGGCCACTGAGCTGCTGCCCTGGGAGCTGCGGTTCCGTATAATCCACGAGACTGCTGTGGGAATGAACTTCCTGCACTGCATGAACCCTCCGCTGCTCCACCTGGACCTGAAGCCCGCCAACATCCTGCTCGACGCTCACTATCATGTGAAGGTAAAGAACTGTTCACTGGTGGCTTTGGATCTAAAAATCATGCTTTTATATTGTACTGGTGGTAACATGATGGTTCTTTTACAAATTTAGACAAAAAGTGTACAACTCTCAAAAATTACCAAGTCAGGGAATGATTTGTAAATCCTAAAAACCCATTTTATTCAGAATGGAACAGCGTGAACATATCAAGGGTTGAAACTAAGAAGTTGTACCATTTTAATGAAGAAATCTCAGGTAATTTAGAACTTGATGGACCAGGACCATGTTCCCAACAGTCTGTAAACATCCAGGAACTGATGAGACCCGCTGCTGGAGTTTAACTGTTCAACAATCCTAGATCATTTTTTTATTTCATGATGAGATAAATGTTTACAATCGGTGGGGAGTGTTCAGTCCCTGGACTTTAAAGCCATGCTGTTGTAGTGGATGCAGTATTTGGTTTAAGCCTGTATACACTTTTGTGTTTTGATGGTACATTTCTAGATGTGTTAGCTGCCCATTTCATCGGCACTAATGCATCTCCATACCATCAGAGAAGTGTTTGCTGATAACAGACTGAAATACATAAAGCTTGGCATTAGTGGTTTCAACTAAGAACTTCAAAGGATTTGTCCTCAGTCCATTTTAAACAAGCTTTTAACCTGAGAAGACAGCAGTGTTTCTGGATGTTTTATAACATTTGGATTATTCTTGGGACAAAAGCCTGTTAGTCAGGTGAGTCACAGCTAACAGGCTGGCTGGATCACTTCCTTTGTGTAAACTATACAGGTACATAAAAGTACGCATGACCAGGCTGAACGACTGCTTCTTTTCCTGAGCTGTGGCATCTGTCTCCCAGCTGTAGATACACAGAACACTGCCCTTTTTTACACACACACACACACACACACACACACACACAAATTCCATGACTTTAAACTATTAAACTTGGTGCTGCGCTGCACATTCTTGTTGTTACTGTTCNCACACACACACACACACACACACACACACACACACACAAATTCCATGACTTTAAACTATTAAACTTGGTGCTGCGCTGCACATTCTTGTTGTTACTGTTCCTGTTTGATCTGCACAGTTCTAGTCTTTTATTAGTTTGTGTTTATTTAAATTACGTTGTGGATTTTGTAGTTTTGTATTTTAAGTAGTATGTATATAAAGGAGACATATCCTGCAAAATTCACTTTTTTAGCTGTTAAATACATTTTGTTGTGTATTTGAAGTCTTTAGAAGTGCAGAAAATGTGAATTTAGTCTCTCCTGGTGCTGCAAAGATATCTTTATATTCTGTTTGGGTCGGATTTTTCAGCCTGTTCAGTTTTCTATATTTTCTATGTTTTTTGTTTTCAAGGTCTGGACTAACAACCAGCCATGATTTTGTTGTCTTCATTCTCCTCTGGTTCTGGGTCAGACTCTGGTTCTGGGTCAAACTCTAGCTCCAAAATGTAAGGCTGGATGGACAAACTTTCTGTTGTCGCTATCTTTTAATTAATTTATAAATAAAATGTCTCACCCCTTTATCAAGCTGGAAAAAAGTGGTGTGAAAGCTGGAGGGGGCAGGATGTGAAGCACCTCATTTAGATCTAAAGGAACTGCATCAAAATGAGCTTCTTTAGCCTCTTTCACAAGACAGTTCTGTGAAATCGCTGCAGAGACCAGTCGGGCTTTAAGCTCCCTCAGGTCGTTCATAAATCACAGGAGAAGCTGGTCAGGTTCTGCTCACACATACATGTTCAGAAATGAACCCAGCAGCTTGGAAACAAAAGAGGTGTGGAACAGATCTCAGCTCAGCTGAAGTGGACCATGACGTATTTATTGTGTGATTAACTGATATCAAACAAAACAAACTGAATTAACTCATTTTAGCGATCCTGTGGTTCAGTTTATTTAAACTAGCTATAAAGTTGCTGTTTTGTGTAGTTTTTAATGTTCCCTCTGTGATACATCTGTTGATTAATCCTGCAGTCACTCATTGATGTCTGCCTCGATCGTATCAAACACACAAAAAACAGAAGCTGCAGAACCACAGTTTACCGTTTCACAAGTCGGCCTGCCTGGCGTGGGTCCGGCTCTGATACGTCGTCTCTTGGGGGTTCAGAGGGACGTCAGAGCCGAGCTCACTTTACTCACCTTTCATGTTTTTCCTGAAAGATCCGAGGAGGACAGCACACTCGTCCGTCCCGGACTGAGTTGTCCTTAGAATAAGACTTTTGAGACACACCTCAGAAAAGTGGTGAAAGAGGGGCTTGTGGAGTTACAGTAAGGAGGATTTCAGAGCGTTGCGGCATTTTTTCTACTTTATTGTGCAGCTTGGGTGCACATTTTAAAGTTTTGTGATTTAAACTCAGTTGGGCTTTTGAGATGATCGTGCTAGTTTTTGAGCCAAGGGCCACAAAACTCATTTTGTTCTGCAAATGCAGAATGACTATAAAAATCCTTCATGATAGAGCTTTAATTAGCGTTTGTGGATAGCATGGTGAGTTGTGTTTACAGATAAGGATTTGTGGAAGTGTTGAGCCCACAGTGATGACCTGAACACAATCAGACCTGCTTATAATGCTGTGGCCCCTGAGGGCCCAAAGATCACATACTGCTTACTGCTTTATGTTTAATCTTCTGGTGAAACTCTGCCCATCTTTACATTTGAGATTCAGTCTTTCTAAAATGCTCTTTTTTTATCCTGAGTCTTAACCTGGTTTGTTGCAGAATGCACTTCTACCCTATTTTTCTATGTTCCATTGTAAATCTGGGTTTTTGAGATTTGGAAATCATTGCATTCTGTTTTTATTTACATTTTGCATATGATCTTAACTTCTTAGAATTAGGGTTGTAAATTAATTTCCAACATTGGTGCAAAATATGACAACTTTATTATTGGCGGTGCAGTAGCTCAGTGGTCAGTTTTGTAAGCCTGAGGCTGCAGGAGCCAGGTTGCATGCTGGGATTACCCTTGCAGAAAGGGGCAGATGAAAGAAAAATCATTAAAACTTTGTTTGATCTAGTTTTTGAAGCTTGAATGTGGGTAAAAGGACAAAAAAATGTTTATGTACAAAAGTTTTTCCTCCCAGAAAAACTAGGAGGCATGAAGTAAAACCTTCAACTCTTCAGGATCTCATACTTTTGTACTTGTAGAGAAAAAAAGTCACCTGAAGCCCATTCATGTCCAGTTTATCAGTTTAAAATTGATAGTTGTGTACATTTCACTTTCCGTGTAACCTTTTAGCAGTTCAACAACACAGAGAGTAATGGGTGAGAACCTTGATATGTCGAGTTTATACCTGGATGTAAACACCCCATCTGGGCCTGTCAGGACAAGAATAATTTAGCTCCTATTAAGTCTTGCTCTGTAAGTGTGTGTGTGTGTGTGTTTGTGTGACGGGGCGTGCACTTCACAACACAAACGTGAAGGGCCTCTCCTCTCCTGCAGGTTGGGACATGGCAGCGTTGCCCTCATCATTCCACTGAGTTCACATAATAAGGGCTTAGCTCCTTGTCACACTCACAGGGCAGAGTTAGTCATCAGCACCGCAGCCTTTCACCAGAAACAGTACCGCTGCTTGGTTTGACGCTGGTATCTGATCTCAATGTTTCAGATATCTGATTTTGGCCTGGCCCGATGGAACGGCCTGTCTCGGGCTGATGACATCAGCAGAGACGGCTTCTGCGGCACCATAGCCTACCTGCCGCCCGAGAGCATCATAGAGAAGGACCGAGTGTCAGACACCAAGCATGACATTTACAGGTTGGTTTTCTTCACACTTGGCTTTATTTGGGGGGGTAAAATGAGGTTTTTGTGACGGACATGAGTCACGTTTTTGCACAATAATCTAATTATCCCCTGCTGCTAAAAGTGAAGAGCTGTTTGTGCATGTGTCCTTGTTTTAGCTAAATAGTTCAAACTACAAGTTTTAATGAAACTTTTAGAAAATAATCACTGGGTTATTAACTTTTAGAGTCAATCTGATTCAAAGTAGCTGCCTCAGCCAACAGAACAACCTAATAGTGTTTGTATTTGAGACCAATCTCCAATACATTCTGCACAGATTGCAATAGATTTCACAAGATCTTTGTTCCATATTTTACCATGATCATGAACTGTGGATGGATTTTAAACCAACGCTCAGGAAGTAATCATTTCGAGTACATCTCCAGTCATTTAACTGTTTGAATATGAACTTAAAGATGGCTACCACAAGCAACCTGCCTGAGAAAACACAAAAACGTCTATAACTTGGTCCATTTTGCAGATATTGGGCTAAGCTTTAATGTGATATTAGTTGAGAATCATTTACAACTCATGTTTTGAGCATCAGGGACTACAGGTGGAAATTAGCATAAGCTAAATCTGGTGCAAAGCATATTTTTAATGTTTTATTTGCACACTGTCCCTGTTTTTAAATAAAGGAATTCTAAAAAAAAAAGAAGTAAAAAAAAAGGATCAACATAATGTATGCTGTACAAAACAGCTACAACTGCAGCCTTTCTCAAAATTAGATGGTTTTAGCCCAAAACTTGAAAAGCTGCAGTGGATACAAAAGATTTTAATTTAATTTAATCAGTTTTTGATCAAATCCATTTGGTATGATATGCTTTGACACATTGTGTTTCACATTACACAGACCATGAAATAATGATTTGTTTGTTTTCATATTTTTCATTTTTTGCTTTTTCTAGTTTCTCCATCGTGATCTGGGGCATCCTCACACAGAAGAAACCATATCAAGGTAAAATTCTTAGCACAACAATCCTTTTCTTTTTTCACAGATAAATAAATGAAAACCTACTTCTGGCTACCGTTTTGACTGTAAATCTATTTTTATAACATACCGGTAAGCATACAGGCTACACCTTTTTAGGTGTGTACAGGCTCTGTAGTGTTTATTCTCTGAATTCCACAGCAGGAAGGTGGACCGAGCCAGACTGGCAACATTGTTTTTTTTTTTTCCCAGGCAGATCGAGTAGCTCTTTAGAAGTCTGTGTTTAAGGTAGCTGGGGTTGGCACTGCCTGCGCTGATCCAGGCAAAATTAAAAAGTGTGAAATCTGTCTCTGTCCATCTTCCTTCTTTGTTTGTGAAAAGTATTACAGCAACAATAGGAGCTGTGCGCCTCTGCCAGTGTGGTGTGAGTCACTGACTCAACTGATCCCACAGTCAGATAAAAGCAGACCAGAACATTTCTGTTTCCCATGGGAAACAACAAACACGAAGAACGATGGTGATAAATCTGCACCTGACCTCCCATTCAGGCACTTCCATCCATCACAGCCTAAAGGTGTGATGTAATCCAGTGCATGTTGCAACTTTTCATTTCTGAGCATGGTTCAAAACCTTTTGAACTTTAGTCCTTATATCAGCAGAGAGAGAGTCCATGTACCACAGAGGATAAAAACAAGAGGTTTTGAATGAAACGGGAAGATAAAATTGATCAAATGTATTTTTCCTCAGGAGAAAACAGTATCCTGCAGCTGATGGTGAAAGTGGTTAAAGGGGTTCGTCCCGACCTGAACGCAATTCCACGAAGTCGACCATCTACTTGTGCAGGTTTCCTGAGCCTTATGCAGCGCTGCTGGGCCACAAACCCCAATGACAGACCTTCATTCCAGGGTGAGTTTCATTTTTATATCTCCATGACATCAATGATATAAAATAAAAAAACAAGGGGTTTGATATTTTTATATTTTTATATTTGTTGCTTCTCTCCTTTAGTGGAAATTTTAACCCTATTCCTGGAATTACTGAAGCCTAACTAGTTTTATTGTTCATGCAGAGATCACATCAGAAGCTGAGGAGCTCTGTTCTAAACCTCAAGACGAACCCAAGACCCCAAGGCTATCCTCATCATCAGAGCCGGAGCCCATGTCCCCCAACCCACTCAGCAATGACCAGGTGAATCATGGTGGCACTACATTCAGATAAAATCCCTGTTTCACAAACAGTTTGTTTTTCTTTGAAAGGTCAGACGGTTTTAGGGATAATCAGCGATTCAGATCGTCACAGACTGAAAGGAAAAGTAGAAAAAATGTGAGGAACATTAGCTGTAAATGGTAGTTGGGTAAAGTCTACTGTAGGATGAACCTTCTCTTCAACTGCAACACTTTTATACTAACTAACCAAACCTCTCTAACAGTTTCCTTCAATCTGAAAACTTTTACCCCCCAAAGATCTCTGTTTAATTCTGGCGACCTCCAGGGATCTGTCCTCAGTACCTTCTGTCTTCTGTTTAGAGGTTGACTGATTTCTTCACAAAACCACTGTGTTGCTTAATGGTGCGTTCACACCGAACGYGATTTCAGCGTCAGCAGCAGCAGGTTTACATGCAAAGTCTATGGTGGACGCGCTTCAAGCAACGTCGGGAAGTTCTGCGGCGCCTCAAGCGCAATTAGAGCAGCGCCATTTGAACGATTTGAACGATCTGAGCATTCGACGCGCTGAGGCGCAAATCGCTGAAGTTAGAAAATCTGAACTTTTGCAGCTCGATGCGCAGCGTCAACCAATCAGAGAGACTCCACTGTGTGACGTAGCGACATATTTCCCGACGGGACAGTTTACTGAATGATGTCCACTAACCTGAAACAGACAGAGCTCCTGTTCTTTAGCTGAAATGAGTGCTGCAGTCGTGTCCTGATCCGCAGCAATGCGTGGCAGCGACTCATCAGACTGAAAAAAATAGTCCTGAAAGCGAGCTGTGAGCCTCTTCTCTGAATTATCTGGTGAATTAAGTATGAATTAATTATCTGATGAACGTGACATGCTCTGGCTCTCTGTAAATAAAGCAAAGCCACTTCCTCGTCCGACATTAAACAGCCCCACAGACGAGGGAGGGGCGGGGCGGCTGTCGCCGTGCAGCGCAGCTATCCTGCGTCTGACCTCAAAGTGCACAAGCTTCAAACTTCAGCATTGGCTGCGATTTTGACGCTGAAATCGCGTTCGGTGTGAACGAACCATAAGGCCCTGTCACATTATACAACTTAAGCCAACTCATAAACATTTTAAAGACAGCTGAAGCTTTGGATCTGGAACTGAATAAATCAATAGGAAGCTTCTTTTTGGCATGTACATACTGTAATTCTATCTAATTGATCAAATATATAACTTTTATTAGCAATTTAGGCATATAAAATGTTTCATAAGTTGTCATAAGTTGTCTAGTGTGACAGGGCCTTTAAACTGATGACACCTTTAGGAGTCTAAGGACCTCAATAATCAGCATGTCATTTAAAATAAAGTCCTGGATGGGGCCCAGTTTTGTTTTGGACTTAAATGAAAACCAACATTATTATCTGTTTGAGTCAGTCCTGTCGGCTCTTATCTTTGCAGTCTGTTAAATATTGTCCCACAGATGGCTAAAAATCTGAGTTAATGTATAACCAACACAGGCCCTCAGTCCCCCACCTCACATTTCTTGATCTGTTAAAGAACTTCCTGTATGTTGAGATTCATAGATGGCACTTTGTAAAAAGAATGTGGGCTTTTTCAGCTTTTTATATTCTGAAATTGTTCACCTATTGAACTCCCACTACATTCAGCATCCTTCAGAAAAGCCTTTGGCAATGTCTGATATTGTTTTTTTTTTTTTTTTTGTTTTTTTACTTTTTTGGTATTCTGTGTGAGCATCCATCTGAACCAATGTCTTGTGAAGTACACTGTTTCAATGCTAACACAAAACCCTATGAAAGTAATGCACAAATATTATTGTACTTATTGTGTTTTGTGCTTTTTTTTACTTCTTTAAACTGTTTACAGGTCTGTTTGTATGACTTGTCAACGTTTAACCAACAGGTTTATCTTTTAACTCTTCAAACTGAGTTATGATTATTGTGTCACAGGAGAGGAATGTTGAATGATGGGATTTTTCAACCTGTGTGCTGCCTTTTTTTTTTTTTTTTTTTTTGCTTCCGGCTTGTTGGATTGATGTGTATGTGACTAAAAACAAACATCCTGTTCACAGGAGCAGCTTTTATCAAGCAATATCTGTTTGTTTAGAACAAATAACGAGCCGTTTTGTTTTCTGCTTTATTGTGTACACGTAGTTTGTTGTATTCCTTTAAAACGATCGTGCTGTACTGAGTGCCATCTGCAACATGTAAAAGGAAATCTAATGGAATGTACAAAATGTCAAAGAGCCACCCCAGATGCTAACCACAGGATTTTTCCCATAGGCTGATGTCAACAAACCGGTGCGCCCAAAGTCGGCCATGTTGCCAGAGAAGGACTGCAGCCTGTCGGAGCTGCTGAGCCAGGTGGACTCTGGGATCTCTAGGAGCTTCGATCGAGTGAAGGAGGACAGCTGCAACAGCAAGGAGAACACGTCTAAGAGACTGTCGGGAATCTCTTCTGCAGACTCCGCCTTCTCCTCTCAAGACTCCATTACCCTGTACCTGGAGAAAGAAAACACAGTTGGTAGGCGGAGCTTAAAGATCTAAAGATGTTTTTACTGTAAAATAATCTTTGAATGCTCACACAGTTTTGATAAGATTTTAAATGTATTTTAAAATCCTCCTTGCTGTTCAGATTCTGCTGAAGTCCAGAAGAGGAAGCTTTGTGAGGCCATAAAGAATAAAGATACCGCCAAGCTGATGAAGATCCTCCAGCCTCAGGATGTTGACCTCCTCCTGGACGGAGGAGGCAGCCTGCTGCACCTCGCCATCTCTTTGGGAAACGAGGAGGCGGTTAAGTTCCTGCTGTTGAACCACGCCAACGCCAACCTTGCTAACGCGCATGGCTCCACCCCGCTCCACCTGGCCACAGAGAAGCACCAGAAGTCTCTGGCTGAACTTCTGCTGAACCGGCGCAGCACCAACGTGAACGCCAGAGACGAGGACCAGTACACGGCCTTGCACTGGGCGGCGCAGAACGGCGACGAGGCCATGACTCGGCTGCTGCTAGACCGAGGCGCGGCCATAAATGAGACCGACGGCCAGGGACGCACTCCGGCTCACGTGGCGTGCCAGCAYGGCCAGGAGAACGTGATCCGGGTGCTGCTGAGTCGCAGTGCCGACGTTCAAATCAAGGGTAAGAACAACTGGACTCCGCTCCACTTCGCCGCCTGGCAGGGCCACCTGGGGATCGTCAAGCTGCTGGTCAAGCAGGCGGGTGCCGACGTGGAYGGCCAAACCACAGACGGACGCACGCCTCTGCACCTGGCGTCTCAGAGGGGGCAGTACCGCGTRGCGCGGATCCTGATCGAGCTAGGAGCAGACGTTCACATGACGTCGGCTGGCTTTAACACGGCGCTGCACGTCGCCGCCGAAACGGGCCACACCAGCACCTCTCGCCTGTTGATTAAACACAAGGCAGGTCTGAATGCTCGGAACGCACACGGACTCACGCCTCTTCATCTGGCGTCGCAGCAGGGCCACCTGGCCACCGTCAAGATGCTGATTGCAGAGGGGGCGGACCTTTCTGTGGTCGACCAATTGCAGCGCAGCCCCTGTCACCTGGCAGCAGAGCATGAGCACAGTGAAGTACTGAAAGAGCTGCTCCTGCACTGTCCAGATGGTTGCACTGTGTCGGACCAGAGGGAACTCAACCCGCTGCGCCTGGCAGTGCGGGGTGGCGGCCTGAACGCCGACGTGACTCCCCCGCCGCAGGCCCGCAATGACTCAGTCCCAGAGAGCACGGTGCAGCCTGCAGCTGAGGAGCCCACAGCGCAGGAGGTCCCCCAGCTCCAGAGGAGAGTCGTCATCCTCAAACTAACAGAGCACAAGGACAAAGACTGTCCACAGCCCCTCACCTGTGCTTCAGTCTCATAACAGCATGAGATATGACACACAGACTTGTACAGAACTCGGAGTTTCTACGCCATATTTCAAAGGCTGGAATTCAATTTTAGTAGTTTTCATTTTTTTTTGTTTTTCTTTTTACAAAATGTAAAACTAAATTTATAGATTGTCACTTTGAAGTATAAAAAATCTGTAAGATTCTCATCAAAAAGCATTTAATGAATGGGTAACAAAAGAGACACGAAATGAGGTAAGAATACTCAAACATTACTTATGGTAGTAAGTAGTTTTTTCCCATGATGCATTGCAAAGCCCAAGAAAAACAAGAACATTAATTTTTATTGTGGAGGAAAAAAACTGCTACATAAACACACAGCTAATACAACAGCACCACTGTACACACAATTACAGGAAGTTTATAAATGTTTTAGAACAAAAATAAAACATCTGGAAAGAGAATGGACTTTCAAAACAGAAAATGTGTCGGAACCCTGAGAAGCATATTATCATTTAGTTAATTTTAATATTTCCTGCACATCTGCTGCCTTTTTGGTAGAGGATTGTCATCTTAAGTGTTTAAACTGGAAGCTTACATGTAAATATGTATACTGTAAATAGAAAGTATAAATACATTTGAGTTTTTTTTTACTAAACACACACAAGCTATAGAGAACCTGTAAATACAATGATTGAATGTATCCTTAATGGACGTTTTGTGGCACTGCGCTGCAGCCTGGAAATAACTTAATACATCACAAAGTTTTCTCACTTCATGGTGTACTGTAACAGTGTGTGTTGTACCTGTTACAGAGCAATGCTGCCTCGTGAATTAAAAACTTTTCACTTTTATCATGGACTTTGTAAAGACTTTGTCTCCTCAATACAAAATATTCTGTTAAATTGTCCCACATATGGCAGGCTGTTGGAACATAAAACACCTTTCTATCTTTGTTTACTATTTTAGAGTATTAGTATTTTTAGTATTAGCGTCCTTGTCATAAAACATTCTTTTGGTCAGAACTGAAAGTAAAATATCTACAATCACATTATTACTAAATACAAAATATGGATCTACTAGTAATAGGAAAAAATATTTTAAAGTAGCTAAAATAATTTTGAATAACTGATTAAATATTTATTGGTCAGACTTGTTACAGTATATAATTTAGTTTTTCCAGGTCAACGTGATCTTTTTTCCTAATGTCAAAATAATATACCCTTGTAAAGAGCTAAGAGTTAAAAATCGCTCAACGTTAGCTAAAAGGAGCAAAAAGCTATTCTAAAATTGTTAAAAAGCTTAGCTAAATGTTATACGAAGCAAAAGAATAACAAACTAAAAGTAGCTAAAGGCTATTTAAAATCAGTGAAAATGTAAAGTAGCAAAAGACTAGCTAAAACCTAAAAGTAGCAAAAGGATAGCTAAAAGCTAAATATAAAAGGCTAGCTAGAGTAGCATATGAAAACAAAAATAGAAAAACAAGGTTTTTGAAATTATTTGAATGGGGACAATTTTTGTTAATAAATTTAAATGTTTTAAAAAGTTTAAAACCTACAAGAACCAAAACCTAAAGGAGCACAAAGTAGACAAGAAGTACATGAAAACAAATATTTGAAAACTTTTTCAGTCTCAATAATAGTTATTAAATCAACTATTACATCTTTTGAATTATTATTTTTAGGACATATTTTGTCCCAATAACAATTACAGTTGTAGATCTTAAACTTTATTTTCTATTTGCACTATTGTAATTGTAAAGATTTAGATTTAAAATTCTGACTAAATCAATTTAGAAAATTCTAATACTGACATCTGAAACAGTAAATAAAGTTAGGTGTGTGATTTGTTGACTCCTTGTTAAAATAATGGTTTTGCAGAGGGGAATATAAACCCCTTGTGTTTCTCGAGGCTCGCTGCAGAAATGTCTCTTGTTCCAGCTCCAGTTACACGTGCTGCAGGACCTTTAAACTTAAGCGCTGACTAGAGTTGGCATGTCTGCATCTGAAGCCTCACCTGTAGAGGGATTATGATCTTCCTGCTCCCACTCAGGTTGGCACAGACCCTGGGAACTGCCCCTGAGGGGGAATCACAGGCTGGAGGATGATGGATGAGTGAGAAGGGCCCCCGATGAACTACTACCTGCAATTCCAGCCTGTTGGCTAATTCCTGAGACCACTTTAACTTTTCATCACTCTCTAAAACCAACACACCATCCCCCGACGCCGTTGGGCTTGGCTTTTTGCAACTTGAGACAGTCCGTACCGATGGCTGCTGTTTTTATAGCTTATATTTGCTGAAGCCCTGAACATGTGTGTAATTTGATCCCTCTGTTCTTCTGTGCACAATGGACTGTGTTCTTTCTGTTGCCTGGTCACTTGTTTCTCCTCCTGCTGAGGAAGAAAAGAAGCGAACTTGTTGCCTAATCACAGCTAACATCGGCTGTCGAGGCCGCTGTTTTTTTGGAAAAACTGGTAGGTTGAGTTTAGGTTGTAGGTGAAAAAAGGCTAAAGATTACAGGTGTGAAATCAAACAAAACAAAACAATCCTGAACAATAGAAAATTGTGCTGTTTGAAACACTGTACTCCAGTAGTTTTCCAGATATATTGATATGTTGCCTAATTCAGAAATGTGGGTGCAAGCTGAATGTAAACAAAGCACTCAGCTGAATTAACTGAAGACCAATGTGAGCTGAATCAAATGATTGACTGTTGGGCTGGTAGTAGTTTATATCTGCAATGTGGGGGCGTTTGAGTGAAAACCATTAGTCTTCCAGATGTGACAGACAGCAAGTGAAAGAATGATTTGATGCATAAACTCTATGAGAAATATAGAAATTGTCAGTATCTGTGTACTTTAGAGTTTTTTGGAGAGGAATGTCTCTTTCCTGTTTCACCAGTGCTGGGACTTCTTTACTGGGTTTTAGCACGATGCAGTTTAAAGTTATTTTTCTGAAATCGGCCTTTCCTTAAGAATATGTTATCTGTTTCGGCTGTATGTATGTTCCTGCAATAACGGTGGCTATATAAAGTGCCCATGCCAAAGACACTAATACACCCCCCATACCATTAGAGAGGCTCAATTTTGAACTGTGTGCTGATGACAGGCTGGATGGCCCCTCCCCTTTTTATTATAGAGCATGTGGTGTCCATGTTTTTAAAAATTTATTTCAAATTTGGTTTTGTCGGACCCAAGAACAGTTTGCTTGAATTTATATTTTAAAACGCTTTGGTCCAGAGAAGATGACACATTCTTAAAGTGTTTTTGAATGACTGATACTTTGCATGATAGAGCTTTACCTGCATTTAGCAGGGTGAACTGTGTTTTTCAGGCAGTGGTTTGTGGAAGTGCTCCTGAACCCATGCAGGGATGTCCAGAACAGAACCAGACCTGTTTGTAATGTAGAGCTGTCTGAGCATCTGATTACGAGCATCATTGACTTTGAAAATAGGTGTTGCCAGGTGAATTCTACACCCGGTCTGTCTTTAAATGTGGTTATTAAAATGGTCTAATGAAGTAACTGATGTGCACTATTACTAAATATTTTGATGATTTGAAGAACTGTAAATGGTGAGATATTCAGTCTTCCCAATTTTCTGTTGAGGAACATTATTCTGAACTTGTTTCACAGGTTTTATAAACATTTTTTCACAGACTGATGAGCCTCTGTCCATCTTTACTTCTGAAAGATTCAGCATACTCCTAATGACCTGTTTACAACCTAAATTGTCGCAAAAAGCGCCTTCAGCCATTTCTTACTTTTCTACATTTACAGCCTTTTGTTGTCAATTTGCCACCTTTTTTTAGATGTATTGAAATGGACATGTCATGCTTTTAAACCACTTTTTCATATTTAAATCCTTCAGTTGTGGTCTAAAGCAAGGTTTTGATCTGAACTCATCCTTATTGTAACTCCACAAGACCCTCTTTTACCCCTTTTCTGAGGTGTGTCTCAGATCAACTCATTTTGAGGTTGTCTCTTTAAATCCAAACAAGGTGCTTCACACCCCTCCACCCTCCAGCTTCCAGAGCGGTCCATTCTAGTTTGATAGAGGTTTGTAAAACTATATAGCTGCGCAGAAACTTATTTACAATTTAATTAAAAGACGTCAAAATGGGAAGACTTGTCCATCCAACCTTACATGTTGGAGCCAGAGTGTGACTCAGAACCAGAGGAGAATTTATTTAGAAGTTCTGTTGCAAAAACTGTGATGTCATACTTGAGAAAACTTAAAGGCTTAAAAAATATGACCCAAACAGAATATAAAGATATCTTTGCAGCACCATGAGAGACTAAATTCAACTTTTTTGCCTCCTAGAGACTCCAAGTACACAACAAAATGTATTTACCAGCAAAATAAGTGGATTTTACATAAGTTACCTTTAAAATTCAAGTTTAAGGTTCATGGTATATTTAATATCCCCTTGTTGCAATTTGTGTTCCAGCCAGCAGGAGAAGAACAATCATCAACAATAAGTACAGTAAATACAATAAAAACTATGGCAGAATAGATATAAACCACAACAGATACAACACTCAACAAGAAGTATTTAAATGACAACAAAGGGTAAAAATGAATTCTTTACCTAATTTCCTAATTTTGACATGGAGMTTCATGGCAGCTTCACACCTCGCTGCTCGGTCACAGACAAACTGCAGACACCCTCATGAATCACAAAACATTCATTGAAGTGGTGTGAGGTTCTTTTCAGGTCATGAATGCTATTTCCATTCATAAATAAATACACACAATTAAATAAATTGCTAAACTAAGGCAAATGTTGTGACACTTCAAGACTGTGGCTTGATTTTTTATCTCTCTCTCTCTCTCCTTTTTTTTAAACCTCACCAAACTTGTTTAGCTTGATGAGAAAGCACAACTCTGAGCAGTAAAACATGCTGCAACATGTGGCTGCAGCCTCTGTGTTGGGAATTAATGCACTCTGCAGAGATAAACACAAATAATACATCACTGAAAAGTATAACTGAAAGTACAGTCTTTGAGTTCACGCAAAGCAGTTTTTGTGTTGTTTAGATTTTTAGTTGTTTAGAATCAAGAGGAAAGTTGTTTCCTGGAAAGTGACAGGCTGAGAGCAGATCTATAAACTGTGAAGACAAAGCATGTGTGCCCCTATCATGGCAGAATAACCTGTAACATGTACCCCTCCTGTTTGCCAATGGAGCAGCGCAGGGACATGTCAGGGTTTACTGTCTCTGTGACATCACTCTTGACACATTTGTCTGCAGYTTTGTGAGGAAGTTGGTTTGTGATCACAGAGTCATGTCTGTAAAATGTGTCATGATTAATTTGGCCAACACAGTTTTGGTTTTAGAATCTACAAATCCAGTCACATGCACCATTAAATCCAGTATTAGATGAAAGGTCCAGTTTTAATGAATGCACAGTGTCTGCAGCCTTTCAAGCCATTTGTCAGACCAAGATCATCTTTTGCTAGGAAATGTCAGGGTTGTGGCTGTTTTAGTCAAACCTGGGAAATACCATCTGATGATACTGTGAGATGTCACTCAGAGGCTGTTCACACAAGTTATTTCTCAGCTGGTTTGACTACAAGTGGACATCCCTGAAGTACAGTATCTCTGGAAATGTTGTTTTTTAATTAATGGGACGAATAAACATGTTGGATCAACATGGATCCATTGTAGTTTCCATGACAGGCAGGGTTGCCAGATAGGAAGCTTATTGATAAAAAAATAGTAAATTCTTCTTTTTTCTTATTCTAAGTTACAATTTCATAAAGATTAAAACAACAATCTGTTTACCTAGAATTTCATATAATACCAGAATATATTCATGAACATCAATGTAATTTTCAATAAATTGTTAATTTCGTTTT